GCTAGGGGGGGGATGGGGGGGCAGGGGACGGGTCCAGACTGCGGGAGCCCGGCTGTCACCTCGGCCAGGGCGCTTCACAGGTAAGACGCTCCTCCAGAGCCCGCCTGCCTCCAGCTCCGGGCTACCTATCTGCCGGCGTGTGCCCCGCCGATGGCGCTTTCCCTCTGTAGTTTTAATAAAGACTCTGCTTCAGACCCGCCGAGTGCTAATCGGGGATTAGATGCATGGGTGCTTTGAATATTCACCGTGGATCCCTTTGTTTCCTAACTTTTTTTTTTTTTTTTGGCCTCGCTTTTATTTCTTTAGAAGCCGGGAACATACCTGAGTTGTTAGTTACTGGATTAAAAACAAAGGGGTGAACTTTATGTTACTTAATGTGCGGTATTACTGTTAATAACAATATTTTTTACCATCATTATTCTATTCCTACAATGGAAAGGCTATCTTCGACTAACTGGACCGTGAGAAGCTTGCCTAAACACCCTGGAAATGTCTGAATGCAGAAGGCAACGAATCGACCTATATGTAAATTCGGACTCTTTTTTTTCTTTTTCTTTTTTTTCCCTTCCAAAAGTTAATAAGCAATAAAATCCTCCCGGTATTGATTATATCCTTGTCACGCTTCCTCAGCGGCGCGGTGAGTCTGAACCGCCTTTAAGTGAGATGTAACGTGTGACGGAGGCAGAAACTTCCAGTGGCGAGAGTTGTTGGGTTTTGTTTTGTTTGGGTTTGGGTTGGTTTTGGGTTTTTTTTTTTTATACTTTTATCGCTAAACTAGAAACGCTGCTGCGGAACTCCCATGCCCCAATACATTGCTGTGCTCATTTAGCTTTGCAGGAACTGGAAGAAAATCTGACAGCAGCCTGAACTAGATTACGGAGAGTTATGAAAGCATCTTTTACCTGCACCCCCTCCCCCCCGTCGGGAGTTAATTGATGGCTCATTAAGGAAGTGGGTGCCGCCAGGTAGGGCTAAATGTGACGATGCACCTTGCAATTTTGTTTCTTCACCTGAAAAATCGCGCTTCGTCCCCAAAACCTGGAGACCTCCTCCGCCTGTGGACGTTTGAGAAAGCAGTCCTTCCTCTTCTTGTTGGTTTAGTTACTTTTATTTGTTTGTTTGTTCCTTTTTCGGCAGTCTCCCTCTCTCTCACGGGGGTTAAGCACGTCGGTGGCAAAGATGCAAATGGAGCGGGGAGAGAAACGTCGGCGCCCATTGCGCTGAGAATTAACTTTGCCTTTAGCCGGGCCCGTTCCCCTCCAGCCCCGAACTGGTGCGCGGGAGCAATTCCCACGTCTGTCTGTCTGTCCGTCCACTGCTGGCCTGAGCTGCGTGTTACCTCCGTCCCCATCCCTTCCCCCAGTCTCCAGCCAAACAAAGGTGGGCGACGCTTTTTTTTTTTTTCTTTTCTTTTTTTTTTTTTTTTTTCCGCTCTCAAAGGCAGTTGGTGAGCAGCTTTCCTGAAACAATAACTCTCTTATTGAGAACAAATGTTGACATTTGCAGGGAGCGAGGAAAAAAGCAGCCCAGGAAGTGCAAAGTGGAAAGCGACCCTCTTCCTATTTGACGACAGCGCCAATTCCTCCGGGATCCCACCTGAGATTAAAGCCTGAATTTCAATAAATCAGCTCTAATGAAACCTCTGGCCCCGGAGAAGGGAGGGTTTGTCTTTCCCGCTCCGAAACGAGGGGAGGGGGTGGGGGGAGAGGGAGTAAATATAGAAAGGGGTGTGAGATTTTACTCCCAGCGGGCTGATTAGCATCGTTATGAAATAAATCGTACACAAAGTGATGTATTTTATCGTTCATCCCTCTTTCTTGCTATACTGAAATAATCGCGTTGTTTGTGCCAACAATCTAGCAAGGCTACACTTTCCTCCTGCTTTCAATTTTGATTATTAAATCTCAAATGACGTTGAATATGCAGTTCTTGCCCATTAATTTCTTGTTTAAAAAAAATAAGTTTATTTGCCAAATCATTTGGGTGTCGCCCATCTGCATCCATGAACCGTTCGTGAATTTCTCAGAGGATGAGAGAAGTCCATTGGGTTTTACATACATAGTGAATACTTAAAAGCGAGTTTTCCAAGTCTTTCTACTTTTCTTTCCAGTAAGAAATCCAGGTCTAAATACTAGCAAGGGTGGGTAAATTATGGAAATCTTTTATAAGTCTTTGGGCGTATAAACATCAAAGGAATGTCGTTAGTCTTTTTTAATCTCTGCCACAGCTTTTGGTTTTTACCAATTGAAATGTACACGTTGTGTCCAACAGAGACCTGGAACATAAAACGTGGGTGGTGGGGGCAGATGGGGTAGAAGCAGGAGTGGGGAAAAGAAAGTTCAGGCATTTTGCCGGCGTAAAAAGTCCCTCCGTGAAATCTTCCTAAAGTGCACAGTAAAGACGGTCGAGGATGATTGTAGTAAATATTTGCATCTACATCATATGCTAAATTGGAGGGAAAAACTGAATTACTGCTTAGCTGTTTGTCTAATTGTACTACACACTACACGCAGATCCCTCAGTGAAAACCAGGATGTTATGGGAGCAAAAAACCTTCATGCTACAAACAACATAAGAAGATGAGTAGGCCTTCAGCTGAAAAGATATTCAGTGGTTTATATTTAGCTAGATGGATCCCAGAGTTTTCCAGAATTACAGTATTAATTTCTGCCCTATCAGCTGAAAAACATATGCATTTTCTCCATCAGTTAGATATCTTTATAGGGGTAAAATACGATGGGGGGGGGGGGGGGGGGGAAGGAAGATGGATCATGGGAATTGCGTATATGTATTTCAGAAAAATAGCTTCCTTTTCCCCTATTCAATATAATCACAACATATTTCCTAACTCCAGACTAGCACGGCTCTTTATCCAGTTAACATTCCCAAGGCTGATGCCTGAAGTATCTAAGATCACTTTCAAATGCCCTTTCTAACAAGACCTGAGCAAGAGGCCACTAATTTTCACTGAACAAAAAGCCACTGGAGAGAGATCCGTTTGTCAATATCAACTGGTCCAGCAATTTCCCATCTTCAGACACATCGGCCTATCTGAGCTGGCAGATGTTTAGACAAGATTTTATAAATTGTTCAATATCAGACCATAATGAACCCCAACTGACCATTCCAAAGCAGCTAAAAGCATTCAGGATCTCCCCTGCTGGGATCTAATAATGCTCTCACGCTGGAACATTATTAATCATGGAATAAAATAGATGAGCCTCTTGAAAAATAAGTGTATGATTGATTAAAGGGCAATCTAAGAAGCTATTATTCTTGTTTTATAACCGTAAGTTATATTCACTCAATTTATCTTTTGGGGAAAATAAATGATTGTTCGTTTCTTTTCTGAAATTATATTATATGAGGATTCCCATTATTTTGCTAAAAATTAAAATGATTAGTTAGCTGATTTTATGAGCCCAATCAAAGTGGATTTCCAATGCGACTGTAAAGATACAGTTTACTGATATAAAGAAAAAGGGGGGAAATAATAAAAACAGAAATTGGACTTTTTAATCTTTTTTTTTTTTTGCCTTTGCATATTTTAGCCAGAAGCAGAAACAAAGAAATTAGAAATAAGCCGTAGCTGATTATAATTCTCTCTTTTTTTTTTTTTTTTTCCTAGAAATGGTGGATTAAAAGAATGTTAACTCAAATAAAGAGCTACTTCACACCCAACATAAATAGTTTATAAGAAACATGCATGTATTCACATCACTCTCTCTACGCATATGCATGTATATACACAAATACGTATTTGCACACATGTGTGTATTTAAAGCTTAAGTATAACGGAACAACCCAGAAGGAATTAATTTATGCAAAGCATATCTTTGCAACATATTTAAATTGCTTACTCATTTTATGGTCTAAGCTCTACTAGTACAATTACAACTTTCGTCATTTTCTAAATAATAGATTATTATTTTGGGGGAAATGAACGAAAAACGCCATATTGTTGCAGACTAGTCTGTTTTTATTTACAATTAGAGATATAAATTAGTAAAGAATTCTCGTTAAACAACCAAAGATTGTATAACCATCAACGTTTCAAATAAAAACCAGGCAAAATTTATTTACAAAAAGTTCAGATTCCATTGCAATACAACTTGCATAAATTACTAGAAGCTTTATATCGTTACAAAAATAAATATCAAATTTGTTTCCACTTTGTAAGGACTCAAGTTCTCCAATCACGTCTTTATTATCTCTACTGTATACATCTTTTACAAATAAATTTTACAATAAATCCTATCACACCTATCGAATATATACCGTGGCAATGAAGTGATCAATTCAAGATATCCTGAGAAAAACAGATCTGTTTTCAAAAGTCACACATACATTGGGGAAACTATACTATACCAGCAAACTCACATATGTCCAACAAAATTCTGGTTTAATAATTAGAGTCTGAAGATTTAATAGTGCTCTGTGGTCTTCTTTTATACAGTGGCACAAGATGTGATCCGGATTTAGAGATTTGTTATATATATTAGCTCGGGGAGAGATGATGGCTTGCTGACTTTTTTCAAAGCAATTGTGACACCTACCTGTGGACCAAGGAAAAAACCAGATCATCCAAAAATCCTTCAAATACACACTAACACCATTAAACTGAACAAAAAAGGAAGTAAGGCAAAATTCTCCGTCGTCTAATTCCTTCCAACAAAAGAATTAGTTGAAAAATATCCGTAAGGCGATTTTTTTGTTGTTGTTTATTCAGCCCTCGATAGTTGAGGTCTGAAGAGTGCCATTGCTAGCCCGGCAAGAGGCAACTGGCAGACAGCATACCCTGCTTAAGATGCATGTCGATCTCTAATAATTCCCTTTTTATTTTAAATAAACGATCACTGCGTGAAGCCTCGCCCAGAATGTACAATTTTAGCACTGCCACGTGAGCACAAGCATTTTGTTTTTAAATAACAATACCTTCAAAGATTATTTTTTTTTTCTAAGGCTTTCTTTCCGTAACATTTAAATAGTCCTTACGGCTTTGCCTTCCACAAGCGAAGAGTATGCAAGGTGAGGGAACTGTCTAACCTGACTTTAAAATGAAGACAAATCCGAGAAGGAAAAGCCGTAAAGAGAGCTTTTTAAAGGAAAAAAAAAAAAAAAAAAAAAAAAAAAAAAAAAAAAAAAAAAAGAAAAAAAAAAGAAAAGAAAAACACACCAGAAAACCAGCAGAAAACTGTCTTACTTCGTAATCAGACACTTAAGTAATGAAGCAAGAAATTAACGTTAAGCAAGTCTAGAACTATGCAGCGTGTCTTAGACCCGATGCCAAATGATCAGTGTAATAGAAAATGTTCTCACTTACTTGCATTGCTGTGTGATTGCACTTCTATAGGTATGGTTGTACTCCTACTGTGCAGACTTCAGTGGGATCTGTCAAAATATAACCGTCAGTTAGTCACAGGACACAGCCAGCTAACTAGATTATACACTGTGTGTAGGTCCCAACCCTCACTCGCGCAGAATTCATAGCTAGGTCGTTTAAAAGGCTGGCCAATATTTTATAATTGCCCGTATGTCGAGTGTTTTGTTAGAAAAAGCTGACAATTATATCAGTGCAAAACTTTTTCGAAAAAAAAAAAAAAAAGCCGTTAATAATGTCGCGATTCATGTAATTTCACGTCCAAGGTCAGCAATTAGCTGAACCCAAAACTGAAAAAAAAAAAAAAAAAAAAAAAAAAAAACAAACGTGAGAATACTGGAAGCAAAGAGAGCAAAACCAGTTTGTCGGAAAGAAAAAAAAAAAACCACCAAAAACCAAAAAACAACCAAAACCCAAAAATACAGGCAGTGACAGCAATGCTCTCTGGATACCTTTGCGTGCAGTTTTCCTTTTAAAAAATGACTTTAAAAAGCTGCGTCTGCAGCCTGTGAGACTGATCTGAAAGTCGTCTTTTACATTTCCTCTCTCAGTTGTTAGAGGCAGGTATCGATACGACGGCGACACGCCGTTTTGAATCCCCAGATGATGCTATTGCCCATCTTCACTCGGCGGTGGTGGCGGTGACAGTGCGCCCACTGCTTTTCCACAGGTCTCAGTATTTACAGCGTGTAAAGGACTTGGACGGGTCGGGGAAGGAGGGCGAGGGAGAAGGGGGGAAGAAGCGGCAAAACCGAGTCACCTACCTTTCTTAGAGTCATAACTAGAGGGCCTGTAATGTTGTTCTAGCTGGTTAGTGATGGTTTTCAAAGAGTCACTGCTCTGCTTGTGGACAGAGCTGGCATTTAGGACAGTCTGGCTTAGTCCCTCGTTTGAAGCCACTGCTGCGGAGTTGTATCTCAGGATTCCCTGGCTCTGCAGAGCGTTAAAGTTCCCATAGTTTGTATAATTGCTATAAAAAGGTGAGGTGTAATAAATATGCCTCCCCAGGAGGGAGGAGGGAGAGGAGGCAGGTCACTGCTCTGCTTGTGGACAGAGCTGGCATTTAGGACAGTCTGGCTTAGTCCCTCGTTTGAAGCCACTGCTGCGGAGTTGTATCTCAGGATTCCCTGGCTCTGCAGAGCGTTAAAGTTCCCATAGTTTGTATAATTGCTATAAAAAGGTGAGGTGTAATAAATATGCCTCCCCAGGAGGGAGGAGGGAGAGGAGGCAGCGCTGTGCGGGGCGGAGGCGGGGGTGGCCGAGGAGAGCGGCGCAGGCTGGCAGCCTTGGCCCAGGGTCTGGCTTTTGAGGTCCGAGGTGGCGATTTCGGCCAGCGACCAGAGCTTGGGCTTGTTGGCCGGCGTCGGGGGGCCG